TCTGTCTGTCTGTGTGTTATATCTAATAATTTTCCTTACTCCAAAGTCCACTTTGCTTGCCTGCTGGTTGCTACCGCCTCTTTCTTTCTCTTGCCCATTCCTCCTTTTTTCCCTCTTCCTTTGACAGTATCTTGTTATATAGTACCCATGGACATGTACACACATGCGCGCGCACATAGATACAGCACCCTAAAACTCTCAGCTCTGGAGTGCTGGGATTGCAGGTCCCAGCTTTTCATTTAACGCTAATTCTTCAGAGCCAGTGTTGATGAGTGGTTGCATAGCACACCTTTCCTGCCCTCTCACTCTGTGTAATTACATGTGGAGTGAGATCTGAGAATCTTGTAGACAACACATGGTCATATCTTGCTTTTAAAAAAACCCATTCTCCATATTGTTGTCTTTTTGTTATGTGTTAGTACCATTTCTGTTTCACGTATGCAAGAATTCCTTTATTTCCTTTCTATGATCTGCTCTGGTTGTTGAATCTGTACATCATTGTCTTTTGGTAAATTCCAGAAGTTTCCAGCTATTATATTTCAAATGCTTTGGAACCACATTCTTTTTTCTCCTCCAGTTTTCTGAGGATTCAAATTTGAGATTTCCCTCATTGTCTCGTAGTTCCTGGTGGCTCTGTTCACTCTTTAAACTCATTTTCCTTAATTGCTCATATTGCAGAATTTCTCTTCAACTCCCTGTCTCCTTTCATTTTTATTCTACTATTGAGATCTTCCACTGATTTTTATTTTTGTTATTTTATACTGAAGTTCTAAAGTTTTCATTTGATTCACATACACACACACACACACACACACTCACACACACGAACTCATGTCCACACACATGCTCATGCACAATGAATGCACACATGCATGAGCTCACACACACACACACACATACACACAATTCTCTCTCTGCATAGACTGTCTCTTTCCAACGCACACACACACACACACACACACTCACACACACGAACTCATGTTCACACACATGCTCATGCACAATGAATGTACACATGCATGAGCACACACACACACACATACACACACATTCTCTCTCTGCGTAGACTGTCTCTTTCCAGCCATCCCCAAACCACTACTGCTTATTTATCAAGATCATGGTTGCTTGTTTATCAAAGCTTCATTGCAACAGCATCTTTGGAAATTTTCATCTTGTAATTCAAGCTGACCTGGCATCTTAGAGTTGAAGACTTAGGTCTCACTGGAAGGTGGTGGCGCATGCCCTTAATCCCAGCACTCAGGAGGCAGAGGCAGGTGGATCTCTGTGAGTTCGAGGCTAGCCTGGTCTATAAGAGCTAGTTCCAAGACAGACTCCAAAGCCACAGAGAAACCCTGTCTTGAAATAATAGTAATAATAATAATAATGACTTAGGTCTTTCTTTTTTTCTGATATAGGATCTCTCTATGTAATCCTGGCTATAGATCAAGTTGGCCTTGAACTCATAGAGATTTGTCTGCTTAATTTTTTAAAAAATTCTGCATACCAGCCAGCTCCCAAATTAAAACACGGAATCTTATTCTTACCTATGAATGCATGACCTTAACTTGTTTTGTTTCTTGCCAGATTTTCTTTAGCTACTCTGTCTATCTTTAGCCTCTGGGCTTTTACCTTCTCTATTCTATATCTCTTTTTATCTTTCTTACTCCCTGACTGGTTGTTAGCTGGCTAGCTGGTCCCTGGAGTCCTCCTCTTCTCTTGCTCTTCCCTTTTCTCCTCTTCTATTATTTCTCTCTGTATGCCAGCCCTGCCTAGCCTCTCTCTCCTGCCTAGCTATTGACCATTCAGCACTTTATTAGACCAATGAGGTGTTTTAAACAGGCAAAGTAACATAGCTTTACAGAGTTAAACGAATGCAACATAAAAGAATGTAACCCATCTTTAACTAATAATCCACACCACCTGCCTTTGCCTCTCAAGTGCTGGAATTAAAGGCGTGTACCACCATGCACTGCACCTTTTCATTCTGAAGATGTACTTATTTGTTTTGGGTGTATGATTTCTTTTTGTCTACATGTATGCACATGAGCCAGGTATGTGTAGTGCTTGAGAAGGATCCCCTGGAAGTGAAGTTGTAAGCAACCCTAACCTTAACCCTAAGTGGTTGTAAGCTGCCATGTGGGTGCTGAGAACTGAACCTGGGTCTCTGCACTCTTAGCTGCTGAGTCATCGTCTCTCCAGCCCTCCCGTGGTCTTCGGACTGGAAAGCCTGGACTTCCTTTTCCCTACTCTGGCACATCTGCCTGCATCTGGCCTCTGGAGCCAAGTGGGAAGACAGACTCAGAGAAAAGCAGCTTCAGGTTTTCACGATGCTCTGGTCAGGGAGAAGGTCCCCTACCTTCAGAGCTTCAGGTCTATCTGATTGTTGCCATCACCATTGCTGTCACCTCCATGGGACACAAGGTTAGGGCAGTCATGGTGGAAACAACTAAAAGGAGGATCCTCCATGCCCTCTGACCTTGTTTGTCTTATTACCAGACCAGATAGAAAACCTTTTCTTGCAGCAGATTCTGCTCATCCCCAGTAAACTGTTGTGTGACGTAGGCTACCTCTGTGTACAGGTGAGGGGGGACATGGTAGACTGTTGTGTGACGTAGGCTACCTCTGAATACAGGTGAGGAGGAACACGGTAGATTGTTGTGTGATGTAGGCTATCTCTGTGTACAGGTGAGGGGGGACACAGTAAACTGTTGTATGACATATTGTGCGGGAGAATTGTCTGTATTCTGTCAATCATATTTTAAATAAATGCTGATTGGCCAGGCAGGAAGTATAGGTGGGAAAACCAGACAGGAAGTAGAGGTGGAGCAAAGAGAATGGGAGTATTCTGGGAAGCTGGAAGCTCCCTCCGCCATTCCTGCCCAGATCACCGAAGAAGCAACATGTGAGCTGACAGTTGAAAAAGGTACCAAGCCATATGGTTAACCTAGATAAGAATAATGGGTTAATATAAGTTGTAAGAGTTAACAAGAAGCCTGAGCTAATGAGCCAATCAGTTTGTAATCTTATGGAGTCCTATGTGTGATTTTCTTTGGGACTTGCTGGTTGTGGGGTACCGGGCGGGACAGATACACCAACAAACCGGCCCTACATGTTACAGACATAGACTACCTCTGTATACAGGTGAGGGGGGACACGGTAGACTGTTCTGTGACATAGGCTACCTCTGTATACAGGTGAGGGGATATGGGGGGAGGAGGCACAATGACTCAGGACTAGTCTCTCTTGATTCTCTTGCTTCCTTCCCCCTAGACTTCCTGCTTTTGTTCCCCCAGCCAAACCCTCAGACATCATTTCCACATAACCTGTTCACGGTCCATAATTGCAGTCAGTAACAGCCATTTGAAGTCAGAATGGGAAATGACTTTTTGATATACCGTCATTTCTTTACGGTAGCTGAGTCTTCTTAGAGCTTTCTTTTCTGAAACTTGTCCATTTTGGAAAACCTTCTCCCTAAAAGAGTCTAATTTCCACAGGGCAGTGGTGGCACATGCCCTTAATCCCGGCATTCAGGAGTCATTGGCAGGCAGATCTCAGCGAGTTCGAAGCCAGCCTAGTCTACAAATGAGTTCCAGGACAGCCAGGGCTATACAGAGAAACCCTGTCTCTGTGAAAACAAACAAACCAAACCAAAACAAAGCAAAAGAAAACAAGAGTCTAATTTCCCAGATGTAGTGATGCACACCTGTAATTCCAACACCTGGGAGGCAGAAGCGGGGTCGGAGGCGGGTAAAGCTCTAGTTTGAGACTAGATTCAGGGTACAATAGAGAGAGGCTTCCAGAATTCCTGAGGTTCAACATGAAAGCAAGTCAGAACTACTAGGCTATGTCTTGGGCTTTAGGACTTCCTGTGTATACATTCTAAGCTTACATTTGGAGATAGGAAACTATGAAGGAAGCAACAAGGGAGATCCAGGGCTGATCTAAAAAGTGCTCCAGGCAGGGATTCTGGAGAAGCTGTAAGGTAGTACTATGAGATGACCTTGGGTCTCACTTGTTTTGAAGGGATGGACCTATACTGTATTTGAGACTGAAGTCACAAAAATGGTGTGTGTGTGTGTGTGTGTGTGTGTAGGTGTGTGTGCACATGTAGGTGTGTCTGTGTAGTTGTGTGTGTATATAGGTGTGTGTGTGTAGGTGGGTGTGTGCGCGCACGTGTGTGTGGGTGTGTGTATGTTTCCAAATGCAGTAGACACTTCCACATGCAGGCTCTTGAGTCCAGCCACATTGACCTCTGAGTTTGCGAGTCTTTGGACCATGTGCTTGTCCACTCTCAGGCTAGACTTCAGCTGGCTGTTGTGAACAGAGTAGCTTTTTCCTGCCTTTGAATAAACTCTATTGAAGCAGGGCAGGGGTGGCGCACACCTTTAATCCTAGCTCTTGGGAGACAGACGCAGGCAGATCTCTGTGAGTTCAAGGCTAGCCTGGTCTACAAAGTGAGTTCCAGAACAACCAGGGCTTTTTTTACACAGAGAATCCCTGTCTCAGAAAAAAAAAAAAGAAGAAGAAAAAAGAAAACTCTATTGAGTGCTGGAGAGATGGCTCTGGGGTTAAGAGCCCTGGCTGCTGTCCCAGAGAACCTGAGTTGGCTTCCAGCACCTACATGTGCCTTACAACTACCTGTAACTGCAGCTCCAAGGGATCTGAGGCTCTCTTCTGGCCTCCTTGAGCACTATATGCAGATGGCATCTACACAGCACACATACACATGCAAATAAATCTTATAAACAACAACAACCAAAAATCTCTATCAAGTCATTCTTCTTCCCACTCTGAGACAAAATTTCTGACAGTTTTGTAGTCTTTTCTAGTAATGTTTAAACTGGTAAAAGGTCCAGTCTAGCCTAATATCAAAACAAGCATGCTTTGTAGCTCCATCCCCAGCTAAAGCCATGGTAGGTTAGGGTACTGTTACTTTTCTTTAACTGTGACAAAATACCTAACAAAAGTGGCTTAAGGAATGAAGGCTTATTTTGACTCACAGTTGGGTGCAGTCCATCCAGGCAGGAGGTCACAGCAGCAGGAACTGGTGCATCTGGTCACATGGTGTCTACACTCTGGAATCAAAGAGGGCTAGATGCTCACACTCTGCTGGGCTTCTCCTTTTATTCATTCAGCCTGGGATCCCAGCCTATGGGACGGCGCCACTCACAGTTAGGGTGAATCGTCCTTCTCACCCAGAAAGTTGATCTCACCCAGAAAGTCCCAGAGGGTTTTCAGCATGTAGCCCTAGATCTGTCAAACTATCACATCTGGAATTGTGGCATGCGAGGGGCCATGTGAATGGCCAGTCCTTTCTTAGCCTCCCTAACTAGACAAACCATCATTGCCTTGACCCCTCCAGCTCCCCCAGGACTGATTCCAGAGAGACGGGGATATTGTGGAGTGGAATCCCCACTCCTGTACTGCTGTCTTCTAGCTCTGCACCCCCAATGCCCAGTCTCCCTCCCATGGAGCACTTTCCTTTATCCCCAGGATCTCCTCCATCACACTTGGCCCTCTCTGTCCTCCAGCTGGCTACTCAGCTCTCTCGCTTTGTAGTCTGCTCTGAAAGTTCACTGCTGGGGCCATCTCTCGGCACTCTGGGCAGAGCCTGGTGCACGACTTAGTGGTCCACGACTGGGGTCTTCACAGGCATGCCTGGGCTGTGTCGTCCTGACATTTTCACTGGGGCGATTTCTCATGTGCTGGTGCCTGCCTTGGAGGGAGCATGCCCTGTGTCAGTCATTCCTTCCTCACGGCTCAGCTGTTCTCGGTACCCCTTACCCTATCACTAAGCAAGCCAGAGGGAACTCATGGAGAAAATCTATATTTGGGATTAACTCAATTGATGACCCTTTAAAAAAATACTTTAAAGCCGGGTGTAGTGGTGTATACCTTTAGTCCCAGTACTCGGGAGGCAGAGGCAGGTGGATCTCTGTGAGTTCAAGGCCAGCCTGGTCTACATAATGAGTTCTAGGACAACCAAAGCTGTATAGAGCTACATAGTTAGACTCTGTTTCAAAAATTTTATATACATCTCTGTCTGTCTGTCTGTCTGTCTGTCTATGTATGCCAGGTACTGTGGTATGTTTCTGTAATCCTACCTCCTAGCTACAGGGGAGGCTGAGGCAGAAGGATCTCTAAACCCAGGGATTTGAGGCCAGCCTGCTAAATAATAAGAGGTCTTAAACAAACAAACAAAAACAAAAAAAGACAAAACACTTAAAAATACTTGAAATCTGGCTCTGAAATTCTGCTCAAGCTGGCAGGGCAAGCAGGGAAGGACAGGTCACCCCGGAAACAACAAGGGAGAAGTGGCCTGCTAAAACCCTTAGCCTCATCAGACTCCTGGAGCCAAACAGGAACCCTGATCTGAATTGGGTGTCAGTCACTCTAGGGTTGGAATGAGCCAGAGTGTCGGGGTAGGGGGCGGGGAGAACACAGAAAAATGTCGGGCCAGGGAGAAGAGAAAGACAATTGGCTGAAGAAGGGGGCACCTGGTTGGGACATGTGGTAACTATGAGTGAATACAGTGAGCCGTGTGCACAAAACCAGAGCGAAACCCGGTATCTTGTGTACTAACTAAAAATAATTAATTTAAGAGGAAACAGTACTAGAGAATATGAAAAACCCCTGGCTGACAGCCAGCCCCAAGCAGGCACACTGAGGGCAGAGAGCATGAAGCCCACCCCTCGCCATACTGGAGAGGAAAATCCCACGATTTTGGTGGACAAAAGACCTCCACACAGGGCTCTTTGACAACCTCCAGAAAATGAAAGAAGAAAGAAAAGCAAGGAGAAGCCTGGGCCAGTGGGAAAGGAAAGAAGTTCTAGGTTTTCTTGTTAGATTTTTTTTTTTTTTGAGGTTCTATAATTAGATGTTGGAAAGGCAAGCACAGGAATAACCAGCAAGGTTGCTCCCCCCTTGGGTATTTATTCAATCCCCCTGCCAGCTGTGGGGCTGTGGCTTGCCAGGCATGCTGCCAGGTGGTGAAATGTGAACTCAGTGCATTCGCATATTCTCCCGAGTCACTTAGAAGCCAGTGTCAGCAAAGTGCTGGCTGACGGGTCCACAGCTTCTCCTTCAGAAGCCCCCTGGAGGGAGCAGGTCAGGCAGCTCTTGTTGGAGATAGGAAAGATACAGCAGACAGGTAGGTGGATTTCTTTGGATTCGAGGCCAGCCTGGTCTACAGAGTGAATTTCAAGACAGGTTCCAAAGCTACAGAGAAACTGCTTTGAAAAACCAAAACACACAAACAAACAAAACGAAAAACAACAACAAAAAACCCTTGGTCCAAACCTGTCACTCTCCAGTTGTGTGTGTGACTTCTGACATGTTACTTAATTCCTTGGTGCTTCAGCTTCTTCATCTATGAAGGAGGAACACTGATATCTGTCGCATTACGTTGCTCAGAAGGATTGAGCATCTCAAGTCATTAGCATATGGTGAATACTCAATGCTCAATAATTGTTACTGTTAGCATCCTAGGAGCTGTGGTCAGGTCCCTCGCTGTCACTCAGGATGTTACTGAGCTTTGGAGGACATCATGGGTCACTGCCCTTTTGTTCTTTGACGACATAATTTGGAGTTTGATGCTGTCAGAGTATGTGGTACCAAGAATCTGGCTGCGTGGATAGCTTGGCCATCTCTGATAGATTTTGTTCCTAACAGAAAATCTGGTTAAGAAAACACAAACAGTAGAGAAATGGTGGTTAATGACTTTAATCCTAGCACTTGAGAGGCAAAAGCAGGCAGATCTCTGATTTCAAAGCCAGCCTGGTCTACAGAGTGCATTCCAGGACAGCCAGGGCCACACAGAAAAGCCTTGTCTTGAAAATACAAAAGAAGCCTGGTAGTGGTGGCGCACGCCTTTAATTCCAGCACTCGGGAGGCAGAGGCAGGTGGATCTCTGAGTTTGAGGCCAGCATGGTCTATAGAGTGAGTTCTAGGACAGCCAGGGCTACACAGAGAAACCCTGCCCTGAAAAACAAATAACAACAACAACAACAAAGAATGAACGGAAGAAAAGGAGGAAGAAGAAAAGGAAAGAAAGATAAAGAAAACACAAACTTACAGCCTTAGGAAAATCCTATAGACTCCCACAAGGAAGAGGGAAATGTGGAGCATGATCAGTTTCCTTCAGAAGAACGAACTGAGCCTGTGTCTCACTGCCAAGGAGCCCCATGGCTGTCCTCTTCCTATTGAACTTGAGCCGGATGCTCAGATATGCTGGTGCTTCTTGCTACACGTGCTTGCATCTGGGCCCCAGCGCACTGGGCGCATGGTTGGAGTTCAACAAACACTTGATGAATGTAAGAAATGATTATGCTCACTTCACAGGTTTCATCTTTCACCTCAAGAGCAGCCCTTTTCTGTCATTGTATCAGCTAACTGAGCATGCGTTGTCTAAGTTAATACCCAATTGAGCTATGTAAGATGAAGAAATTTATGATGATGATGATGATGATATGTGGGTGTGTGTCTGTCTGTCCATCTGTGTGTCCGTGGAGCTCCGAGGACACCTTTCAGGAGTAGGGTTCTCTCCTTCTACTGTGGATTCCACCCACCAAACCCAGGTCTTTAGGTTGTAAGGCAAGCACTTTTTGCCTGTGGAGCCTTCTCACCAGTTCAAGATAAGGAAATTTCATGACAAAAATTCCAGAGGGCAGGTGGGTTCACATGTACTGAGACATCACCCCATTGACTCCCCATCCGGGTTTGAAGCAAGACTCAACATCTCCCAAGCACTCCCAGGGTCCTTCCTCTCTGCCAGCTAGACCTGTCTCCCTTCAAACTCCCTTCTCACTCTTCCAGCTCTTATCATCAATGAAAACATTTAGTGGCTGGAGAGATGGCTTAGCAGAGAAAAGCACTTGCTGCACAAGGTGAGGATTTGACTTCAGAGCCCCAGCAGCCACATAAAATCTAGGCATGACATCACACATCTGTAACCCCGGGGCTGTGGGGATGGAGACAGGCAGATCCCAGGGCCTTGCTGGCCACCAGGCCAGCCAAATGGTGAGCTCCAGGTTCGGTGAGAGACCCTGTCTCAAAAATGAAGGTGGAGAAGCAATTGAGGAAGACACCTGACACCAACCTATGGCCTCCACATTTGTTTAACTCTGTGAAGCTTATTACACCTGATTGATCTAATAAGGAGCTGAATGGCCAATAGCTAGACAGGAGAGGGATGGGCAGGGCTGCCAACAGAGAATAAATAGAAGGAGAAAAAGAGAAGATCGAGGAGCGAGAAAAGGAGGAGAAAAAGACATCAAGGGCCAGGCATCCAGCTACACAGACAGCCACAGAGTAAGAAGCAAAGAAAGGTATAGAGAACAGAGAAAGATAAAAATCCAGAGACAAGAAGTAGACGGGAAGGGGAAGGAGGGGGGGAGTGGGGGGAGTGGGAGGGTGTTGGGAGGGGGGGCGGAAATGGAAACTTTTATAATTTAATAAAATTTACAAAAAAAAAAAAAAGAAGTAGCCGGGATAATTTAAGAAAAGCCGGCTATTCAGGACAACCAAGGCTGTTATATGAGAAACCCTGTCTTGAAAAACCAAAACCAGACCAAACCAAAACAAAAACAAAGCCAAACTAAAAAAATAAACAAAACCTACCAAACAAACCAAACAAACAAAAAACAACAACAAAAAAGAAAAACTGGCTAGAAACAAGCCAAGCTAAGGCCAGACATTCATAAAAAAGAACAAGCTTCCATGTGATTTGTGATTCATTTGGGTGGTGGACCCCCAAAAGAGTAAAGAGTACAGAAACAACCAACAACATTTGGCACCCACAGGCTCCTGTTTCCTTTACATGCACGCTGAAACCAGCCATACTAGTACTTAACCTCCGCGGTTGTGGTATTGAATTAACAAATGCGTGTAAAGTGCTCAGCAGAGTTCTTGGAATCTCACAGTAAGAAGAGAGAGGAGTCACAAAAGACAAGCTTATCTGTGTGGAGGCTCTACTGTTGCTGATTTGAAATGATTAATTGTTTTGAAAGAGTCCAGCATTATCATCCACACTAAAACCTACAGATGGTGTTAACTGGTCCTGGCCTTCAGTTGTAGAAGCTGCGGAGATATAGAGAAACAGACGGATTCTAGAATGGGCCAGAACGGACCCAGGAGTCCCCTCTCCCGGTGTGGTAGCACCTAAACACACACTGCTGTTAGCAAGCAGACTGAGGAAGAAACCTAGCATTTGGAAACCTGCAATTTTCTCTCTTTGCAATTAAGTTGTTTTAGTAAATTTAAAAGCAGAAATGTCAACCTTTCCTTTCCCTAACCCTTCTCTCATACCTCCTGTGTGGCTATCATCCCATGATTCCGTGGGGTGGGGAGGGGGGTGGATGGGAAAATGGAGGAAAGGTGAGGTAGAGCCGGAAAAGTGCTCGGTGGACAGAGGTGGTGGGGGAGATGGTGGGAGGAGAAGCAGAAAGTTGCTCAAGGAGGTCTTAGAGGGGAAACATGTGGGTGGCCCTGACTTGCCAAGAATTCCGTTGCAATTTTCTACAGCCTGTCTTCCCTGGCATAAACCTTCAAGATGCAAAACGCAGCAAAGCTTAAGCATGAGAACAGTGTCAAAGTATCTGGTCTATGCTAGTACATATGTATGTGTGTGTGTGTGTGTGTGTGTGCACGCATGCATGTGTACGTGCATGTGTGCGTGTGCATGTGTGTGTGCGCGTGTTTGTGTGTGCGTGTGTGCCTATGTGTGTGTGTGTGTGCATGTGTGCGTGTGTGTGCCTGTGTGCCTGCATGGGTGTGCATGTGTGCGTGTGTTTGTGCATGTGTGTGCCTGTGTGCGTGCGTGTGTGTGCATGTGTGCGTGTGCGGTGTGTGTGTGTGTGTGTGTGTGTCTGTGATGTGTGTGTGGAGACTGGTGGACCTTTGGGTCTCAGTCATCAGCCCTCACCTTGTTTGAAGCAGGGCTCCTGCTGTTTACTGCTGCGGTCTCTAGGCTCCTCAGCTCGCAAGCTCCCAGCTTTCCTCTTCACCTCCGCTGTGGGAGCACATTATACGAGTTCTGGGAGTTCAAACTCAGATCTTTATGCTTGCATGACACGTGGTTTAGCCATTGAGCCATCTCCCTAGCCTTGAATGTATGCACTTAAATTTGTGTGTGTGTGTGTGTGTGTGTTACAGTTCAAATGTGGAGGCCAGAAAAATGCTTGTAAGAGTTGGTTCTCCCACCATGTAGGTTCTGGGAATTGCACTCACTAGACTTGGGGGAAAGTGCTTTTAGTGAGCCATCTTCTCAGTCCTGTGTCCCATGTGCACACACATACACATGCACTCACACATATACATACATACACACACATACACACACTAAGTGCTTTTACTAAGCCATCTTCTCAGTCCTCCACATACACACACAAAGTGCCTTTGGTGAGCCATCTTCTCATTCCTGTGTCCCGCGTGCACACACGTACACACACACACACACACACACACACACACACACACACAGGCATCTTTTCCGTTACAGCTTTGTTTTCCATGACTGTGATTCCACGTGTATTATGAATTAACTTGAGTTTAGGTTTTATGTAAAGCTGAATCCTGAGCGCCAAGTAACCAACACACAGCATTACTTTTGGAATACAGCTTGTTTGTAAACTGGGTCTGTGTCCATTTAAAATTAGCTTAATACTGGATGTCAAAGTTCCAAAGAGCTCCCTGGAAGGATGCTTGGAATATTTTCTTAGATGGAACCATTGTCCAGAACATCCTCCCCAGGTGATGACGATGTCCAGTAACAACTGGGGACAGAGTGGCTGTGTGCCGAGTGTTTGGTCAAATGTGAGACCCCAGACCTCTAACACCCCTATATCCAAAGAGTCTGGAATGTAATATTGAGGTGGAAGTGTCACCCCAGCCCTGGCCTGGGAACTGCCAAGCACTTGGACTCCAACCCCTAGCCTGCCAAGTGCTGACCCCTTCCCAGGGAGGGTCAGACCAGTCCCACAGGGTATTTAGGCTCAAACTGGAAAAAGGAACATGTGGTTTCAGGTTTTGCATGTGCTCTCCCTCTGTCTTCCCCCTGCCATGCTCTGGGCCACCCAAGAACACAGCATTCATTAAATGTGGGCATTTTTGATTCTGTCTATTCTGGTTTGATTGGAGTTCTTTGTGCTGGCGGAGAGGCTCAGTTAAGAAATATTCCTAACACTGAGTTCTTAGTTTTCGTTTTCACCTAAGCCCGTGAAATCATGTTTGACTCCATGCCATTCTATGACCTTGTTGGAACCCATTCTTGAGATCTATTGAGCAGTCAGAAATCCCCCCAGATAGATATTGCCTTACTGGTTTGAACCCCTGGGTCCTCTCTAAGTTGAAGACACCAGCTCTGCCCACAGGAAGGGTTCAGGGACCTTAGGGTAACTCTTCTCTACTGGTGCGATCTCTGCTTGCTAGCTACTGGTGTGCCTGGGTTAATGAGCTGTGAGAATAATTCCTCTATGCCTTTGCCTTCCTTCTTTCCTGGTCTCAAGTTAGCTGTCTTCATTTCCCTTAGGAACTGTCTTCCAAAAAGTCTGTGCCCTTAGCTCAGGTCTAGAGAGCTTTGGCTATCCACAAAGGGAGGGATTTCCTTGGCTAGTGTGAGTCTCTGGGGGCTAAAGAAAGTCAGCCTACTGAGCTGGCTGAGCTCACTGGGGTGCAA